TCAGCAACCTGGTAAGTGGTAGAGTAGAAAGTTAAACCCAGGTGGTCTCCTCTAGAGCTGGCATGCTTCACTGGTACACTGTAATGCTTTCTTTCAGTTCAGTAACTTGAATGGGTGTCGAATTTATTTGAAATACTGAAGAAACAAGACCATAAAAGGAACTGTCGGTGGGTAGACTCTCCTTACCTCCTGGGACTACAGCCAATCAAGAGAATTCCATTTGTGCAGATTTAAAACAACACTCTTCTTTTTTACTTTTGTATCAGATGGATCAGTTTATCCATGAATAGGATCAATGCCCTTTTTTTAAAGACTTTGAAAACATTTGGTGGGAAAAGCTGTTTATTATGTCAAAAGCAGTTATTTTTAACATTTAGAAATTTTGACACATCAGAGGACATTATACATTAAACTGGCTTATAGAGAGGGAACGGTAATAGGCACACACATTTGTGGTATTAGAAGAAAACCAGGCAAGAGCAGTGAGTGATCCCAGGTTCCCCTGGGAATCCAACTTCAGAAGCTACTTCATCAGGAGTGGAATCAGAGGATTGTAACAACCAGCTTATGAAAGAAACTAAAATCAGATTTCAGGGAGATTCACAAGGCCCAGAAGGCTTTGAGAGAAGGTTTCCTGGCAAAGTCTTTTTATGGACAAAGAACAATAGAACTCTTGTGTTTATTAGTGTGTAGGATACAGAAGGCATAGCACAGGCCCTTGTTTCATGTGTTTATCTAATCTGGCTGAGATGAAACCTGATAATTGTCATTGCACGTACATCCTGCTGCCAGGCACTTCATACCTGAGCCCTTTGCTGATCCTCAGAACTACGCTCTATGTCCCTATCTGCATCAGCTAGGACTAGGCCTGGCTGCATCACCGCCATGGACTCGAGTCTCCTCCATAATCCCAGGTAGCTGTCGAGGTTGAAGGCCACATGAAGTTGAGGAAAGGGAGCAGAGTAAAAGGGTGCAGTCACAGTAAAATTAAGATTTTAAGGAGTTTTCACTGAAGTCCCATATATATACTTTGCTCATATCAACCAGAGAAAGCCATGGCTACTGCAAGGGACTTTGGAAAACCTAGATTAGCTGAGTGCATTGTCACTGATAGAAAGGGAGAGAAGAGGGCCGGCCCGGTGGCTCACTCGGGAGAGTGCGGTGCTGATAACACCAAGGCCCCGGGTTCGGATCCCATATAGGGATGGCCGGTTCGCTCACTGGCTGGGCGTGGTGCTGACAGCACCAAGTCAAGGGTTAAGATCCCCTTACCGGTCATCTTTTTAAAAAAAAAAGGAAGGGAGAGAAGAAAGGAGATGCCTTATGAGCTTGAAAGTAAGACATGGAATAGAAACCAGATCAACAGATCTGCAAAGTCCAGCATCTGTGTGTCCCAACACATGGCATTGAGCACAAGAAACCATCACAGTACAATCTAAACCCTTGCTCTAAAAGGACAGTGCATGTTGGAAGTGCAATGAGGGCAGGAACCATGTACTGAGTTTATTGATGTATCTCTGCTTGTAGCACATGACCCGAACCACTGTTGAGTGTCATTTTTGGTTGAATGAATAGATGACAAAGGAGACAATGTGATAAGAGATGAACTTCATGAAATCTTGGGATGCTTGGCAGTTAAAGGAGGTTTTAGAACTACAGCAGAGTAAATCCAGTGATGCCCTCATACCCTCCAAAATCAAAGAAGTAGATGTTTTACTATTGGGGGTAATTCATTGAACTTTCAAAAGAAGAGAATAGAACTGAAGCCACCAGAGGTGGGAAAGGGGGAAGGGGAGGGGGAGTTAGCAGGAAATCGGTAAAGGGCTACAAAAAATGATTACATTTGCATAATTTGAATATACTAATTATCCTGATTTGAGCATCACATATTGCACACAGGTATTGACATGCAACACTGTTCCCCACAGATACGTACAATTATGTTTCAATAAATATAAATTAATTTTTAAAGTAAAAATGAAAGGCTGGCTGGTTGACTCAGTTGGCAGGAGCATGGTGTTATAACACCAAAGTTAAAGGGTTCAGATCTCTTTAACTGGTACTAGCCGGCCACCAAAAAAATAAATAAAAATGAAATAAACAAAAATAAGAAAACAGAAAATAGTTATAGTTTTAATAAAAATATTATTTCTGTTACCATAATGGGTTTATCAATTTTTAATTGATATTTTTAAATTCTCAGTTTTAATTTAATAGATAGATATTAGCAGACATAACTCACATAAACAAAAGTTTTGGGGACCTCAATAATTTTGAGGAGTGTAAAGGGGTGCTGAGACCAAAACAGTTTGAGAATTGCTGGAGTAGACTAGTTCCCTCCTGGTGTTCTCTTTTGATTCTTTCAATCAACAAATGTTTTATTATGTCTGTCTACACCAGGCACGGTTCTGGATGTTGGGGACACAGGTGAATAAGACAGGCAGGCTCTGACATGATCAAGCTTGCATTCCAGCTGGGGTGTGAATGTGTGTGAGACAGAGACACGCAGAGAGAGACAAAGCAATTGAGTCAAAGAAGAAAAAAATTAACAAGATAATTTCAGATTATGTTTAAGTACCATGAAGAAATCAAACAGGTAAAGTGTGGGTCTAATTCAGACTGAGGCTGTGAAGATGACCTTTGATCTGAGCCTGATTGGCAAAGAGAAGCTCCTTTGATCACTTCTGCCCACTCTTCGGGCCCTGTTGGCTTCCCTGTGGTTCCTTAAATATGCCAGGCAGGATCCTTTTTCAGGGGCCCCTCTGTCTAGAAAGCTCACCTAAATTTTCACTTCACTCACTCCAGTTCAGATATCCTAGGAGCAGTCTTCCCCAATCATCTATCTCAAAGAACCCCTCCCCTCCCCCATTACTAGCCATCCCCTTACTGGGCTTCATTTTTCTTCCTAGCACTTATCTCTACACAATATTGCTATATATATTTAAGCATTTCTCTCACTCCCTCCAGAAACTTGAGGTGGTTGCTATAACCCAAGATCATTCAATAGTGCCTGGAACATGGAGGGCCCAATAAGTGTGCTTGTTGGGAAAATAGAATAGTTTGGTCAGGGCCCTTGCCTCAGGTCCGGTTGGGGGTGGTGCAGCATTCTTTGTAAGCAAATTTTCTGTGGGGGGTGGAGTTAGTGCGCATGTGTGCCAATGTACCTTTTTAGTTTTGCTGCTATTCTTGTGTTCTTAGAGAGACAGAGAGAGCGAGAGAGAGAGAGAGAGAGAGAGAGAGAGAGAGAGAGAGAGAGAGAGAGAGTTTTAGTGAAGCAGGCAGGCAGGTGTTTGCCTCGGGCATCTGCCCTGCGTGGCCATGCTTTCCAACCTATGGCTCCAAGGACCTTTTGGCTAGTTACCTAGCTCATAGACCTGCATGTGAGGGGTGTGGGGACCCAGCCTGGCATGTGAAGGGTTTGTGACCCAGTCTGTGAACGGGCTTGAGGGGTCTGTGGGCTCCAGACCCAGTCTTAGCTCTACAATCGGCCCAGTCAGCGGGATTACGGGCAGGTAAAAGAGCCTGACAACTAGCGTGGTGGAGTAGCTTTACAATTGGCATCATGAACAGGATTAAGAGCTAGACAATTTGCGCCGTGAGGATTCCAGACAGTAGCCATGGCCCCACAGCGCTGCATAACTAAAATTATATATAATCAGAAAAAAAGTTATTTGTCTTCTGAAAACATAAGCTAGTGTTATAAGCATACTATTAAGAGATGAGCACAGTGACTTTCTCTGAGGCAACCATAAATATCTAAAGAGAGCGTTACCAAACGCAAATCCAGCTGTCTGCCACCAAAGCAAAACAAAACACTCTAAAGTCAAATGTTGGTGAAAAGGTAAGGCAGCTTTATTTAGGAATTCTGGCAACCTGAAAGAGATGTTCGGCTGACCCTTTTCAAAGGCTCAGGTAAGAAGGTGGGGGTAGTGGAACGTGGGAAGATTTATTTTTATTTATTTATTTATTTATTTATTTTAAAAAGATGACCGGTAAGGGGATCTTAACCCTTGACTTGGTGTTGTCAGCACCACGCTCACCCAGTGAGCTAACCGGCCATCCCTATATGGGATCCGAACCCGGGGCCTTGGTGTTATCAGCACCACACTCTCCCGAGTGAGCCACGGGCCGGCCCTTATTGCAAACAGGGAGACACATAGTCAAATTGCCCTGAGAAATCCATTTCTTTCTTTCTTTTTTTTTTTTTTTAAGATGACCAATAAGGGGATCTTAACCCTTGACTTGGTGTTGTCGGCCCCACGCTCACCTACTGAGCTAACTGGCCATCCGTATATGGGATCCCAATCTGTGGCCTTGGTGTTATCAGCGCCGCACTCTCCCAAGTGAGCCACGGGCCAGCCCCGGAAGATTTAGTAGAGAGTCAACTTTTTTTGCAGAGTCTAGATGGCTGTTATCTCATAGCTGGTCCTGCGTTTTCTTGTTAGCGCCCGGGATCAGCTTTTTCTTGGAACTCTGCCAATCTCAGAAGAAATGTTACTTTTCCAAGGTACTGATTAGCTCTCAACACTTCCCCACCCCCCCACCCCCACCAGAATTTAGGGAGAACATCGCCTGTCTTGTTCCCGCTCTAACCAGTGACTGGATTAGCAGCTGGTACATGTACTGGATGAGCACTGGGACGTGGGCTCTCAACAAATGTTAGTGGAGTGAAGGGGCGACCTCCTCTTACCAACAGGTAAACTGCGCCCGGAGGGAGAAAGTGACTTGACCAAAGTCACTCCCTGAGTTTAGGGCAGAGTCTGGGCTGGCACAGCAGTGTCCTGACTCGCTGGAGGCGCTCGCTCCACCGTAGTTAATAATTCTCTTCTCCACACAACCGTGTCAAACGCAGTCAAAGCCTTCATTTCTCAAGCTAAGCAAAATAAAAAGAAAAGACACCCAGCCTCCGAGAGGGTAAGGAAGGAGCCACCGAAGACCAGAAGACACAAGTCTTTCCGGGTCACCCAACTGACCTCTCCCAGCGCCGGGTCCCGTCACGTGACCCCAGCAAACGCGTATGTCACGTGAGCAGCGGCGCCGACGCCCGCGCAGGCGCAGTGGGCCTCTTCCGTGTGCCCGGCATGGGGACACCGCTCGGTGGTATGTTCTCTGGGCAGCCACCGGGGCCCCCGCCACCCCCGCCGGGACTCCCGGGCCAGGCTTCGCTTCTTCAGGCAGCGCCAGGCGTTCCTAGACCTTCTAACAGTACGTTGGTGGACGAGTTGGAGTCATCTTTCGAGGTAAAATGAGACAGGGGAGGCCTTGTCCCAAGGCCTCCGGAAACGTAAGCTGCGCGTGCGCGTGGTGTCTCCGCCCAGCACCCGTCTGCAAACGGGAAGCTGCAGCTCAGAGAGCGCAAGTCACTCTTTGTCAGCGCCCCAGTGGTTGGTGTTCTACTCAGGTCTGCTGGCGGAGACGCTTGGAGTTGAAGTTTGCTTATCCCGCAACCTTGAGACCCGCACGGGTTCCCAGCCGGCTGTTCCCTGCCCTCGCGTTCTTGGTCCCTGCCCTGAGCACCCTTCCCTGCATCCCTGCGTGTTTAGTACGAGCTCATTCCCTTAGGAGCGCAACGTTTCACTGCTGCGTCCTATATCCTTTCCTCTGGGCTTTACCCTTAAACGGTCCTAAAGTAATGGGACTCTTAGAGTGCTGTGAGGAGCTTGGCAGTAGGGGCCGAGGAAGGAGGAAAGCTGGGGGTTAGGGAGGGAGCGAGACAGATAATCCAGTGTCTGAGTTCTGCCCAAGGAGTTTACTCTGTAGCAGGGAAGGCGAGGTGTGTGCTGAGGGGAGATGGGGAGTGGAGAGGTAAACATAAGTGCTTGGGGGCTTTCCAGTGGTCTCTAAAGTGGAGTATGAGCCTTTAAAATAATTTCTAATTGGCGTTGTCTTTTCCACATTTTGAATCCTAGTTATGTGAGTTTTTTACTGCATAGTTTTTAATTGACTGTATTTTTGTGGCTGCATGGGCAAAATGCTTTTACTATAGAGTGTACAATCAAAGGTTTGGAGATAAATAACTTAAAGGACAGAGAAATCTGTTCTGTATGGGAGAAGGAGGGATGCCTTTGCGGTGGTGCTAAGCCATAAAGGAAAGGAGTGGGTGAGCTTTAGAGCAGCATCTCCCATTGTTCTTCAGGTGAGGTGGCTCTCAGTCATGAGTGCTTGCTGAAAGACTGTAGAAGTCAGCTGACCATCAGCACCCTGTTGCTTAAAACTCTTTAGTAGCTGCTTGTCACTCTTGGAATAAAACCAAGGTGTTTAGTGTGGTTTCCCAGGCTCTACATGTTCAAATGTCTGCTTCAGACCCAGTAACCTGGGTGTGGCTATCAAAGAAGGCTTCCTAGAGAGTCTGAAACCCAAAGGAGCATTTGGATTTAGCCAGGGGAAGGGAAGTGGAAAGGGTGCTAACTGAGTCCTCCCTCTGCTGCTGGGTGATCACCCACCTAGTCTTTTCTCAAGGCTTAATTCAGAGGCCACATTTTTGTGGAACTTTTGCTGTTTACTTCCTTGTGTTCTATGTGGACCTCAACTCCACTGTCTCCCGTGGCTCGTGACACCTGCTTGCCTGCTTCTCATTTCTGTTTGGGTAGAGCGTGAGCCTGAGGGGTGCTATTTAGAAAAGGTAAACAGGGACAGCCTTTTTGAGGAGATGACAGTTGGCCTGAATCCTGAGTGGGTGATGATACAAGTTGCGGAAGCATTGGCAGGAGGGACCGCCATGGGGCTGGAAGAGAGTCCTGGCCTGGTGTGGAATGAGATAGTGGGGAAGGAGCAGAGGTGGTGCCGGCTCATTGCTAGGCTCTCCCTCCATAGGCCTAATTGGGAATCAGTTTACCAAGTATCTTCACTGGCATGATGTTCTGTCATCTCATGTGCAAACCCAGATGCTACCAGCTCATTGAATGACTTCAAGAGAAGTTATGTCTTACTCTAAAGTAAGATTTTTATTGTGTGATTGATATTTTTCTTCTATGATATGATTTTATCACACAGGCTTGCTTTGCTTCTCTGGTGAGTCAGGACTATGTCAATGGCACTGATCAGGAAGAAATCCGAACTGGTAAGCATTCTCTTACTAGACAACGTTCTTGGCTTCAGCAAGATTTCTAATTGATGATTTACCCTTGATGTGTTTCAGTCCTGTTTGTATCCTAAGAGAACTTTTCCTGGGAATAAGATTTATATACATAATTTCTATGAATTGCTGTTTCTTTGGTCAGATTATCAATTGACATCTTAATGTCACTGATAATGAACCATTTATAATGAACTTTTCATATTGGTACTTGGTAAAGAAGACTAATAGTGTATAGTGCTTTAAAAAAAAAAGAGTTGTAATTTTTTTTTTTTTGCATGGATGTTAAGAGAAAAGTCTCTTGTGCTTCCCCTTCAGTCCCCCAAGTTCTGTCCCTAGAGGTAACCAGAGCTTCTGATTTCTTCGTACCATATTTTAAATGTACTATTTTAAACTGGAAATTGTGATGCTAATTGCTGGATTTCTGGATTGACTTTCTTCGGAAGACCTCATGGCTTTTGCGTTGTGTTAAAGTCTCTATTTCATCGGATAAAAGCACAAATTATCTGCTATTTAATGTTTGTTAACACATGAGAAGTTAGAGGTCATTATTATTACTGTGGCCAAGATTAAAATCCTTGATACATCTGTGAGAAGGTGCTGTTTGATGTTCAGACTTTTTATTTATGATGAGACATGTGTGTTTAGTGTTTTTCGTAATTTAATATTTTGCTCTTTTTTTTAAGGTGTTGATCAATGTATCCAGAAGTTTCTGGATATTGCAAGGCAGACAGAATGTTTTTTCCTACAAAAAAGATTACAGTTATCCGTCCAGAAACCAGAGCAAGTAATCAAAGAGGTACGAACTCAGTTTTAGGAAGAGCACGTCTTGTCAGGAGTCTGTGCTTAAATGAGATGTACTCATTTCCCATTAGTTACAGCAGGGTTTTATAGATTAGCATGAAACATTGCTGGTTGCCAGTGTTCATGATACCTGCACAAGTAGTGATGCCAGGGAGTAGGGGCAGAAAGCAGAGCTTCAAACAGAGCAGCTCTGCTCTTTCTTGTTTCATAATAGGCTTTCAAGGAATATTTTTCTTTTTTTCTGTCCTTTTTGAGACCGGCCGCACCGCGCTCAGCCAGTGAGCGCTGTGAGCGCACCGGTCATCCCTATATAGGATCCGAACCCACGGCAGGAGTGCTGCTGCGTTCCCAGCGCCGCACTCTCCCTAGTGCCCCACGGGCTCGGCCCAAATTTGACTAATTTTTAAAGATTCATATTAAATCACACATAGATGTCTTGTGAAGTAGAATGAAAGCTTTGTCCAATTTCATCTGTCCTTTTTGAGACCGGCCGCACCGCGCTCAGCCAGTGAGCGCTGTGAGCGCACAGGTCATCCCTATATAGGATCCGAACCCGCGGCGGGAGCGCTGCTGCACTCCCAGTGCCACACTCTCCCGAGTGCGCCACGGGCTCGGCCCAAGGAATATTTTTCTTAAAGAAATGGTTCTTCTTCATGGAAAAGGTTGAAAAGCCATTAGTGCAGGTAAGCTTATTTTGGACAAAAACTGATTTATGTTCCCAGTCGCTTTACCCAGTGCCTTACACACAGGTAGCCAAAGAATCAGAAAGTAAATGTTCTGACCCAGGCTCAAAATCCTTGAGCCTCAGGATTTTGTTGATCTCAGTTTGAAACCGGGGCATTTGGAACTGTGTTGGAGTTGCCACCATGACTGGGAAGCTTTAATGTGAAGGAGTGAAGAAACGTCCTGCCCATAAGGCCAGAGATGCCACCAGTGAGAAACAGTAAATTGAGATGATCGGGTTTTGGCAGTTTTTGAAGTAACTACTTCCACAAGCTGACCAATTAATCAAAAAGGCTCTTTTCATTCATGATACCAGGGTAAATGGTAAGAAGATGATAGTCTTACAGTTCATCATGTCAGATTGTTTCCTGATGTGAATACTTGAATAACAACACAGGTGTGTTCAAGGCCAGTTCTCAGCAAAGGGTTTATGCTGGTGTTCATAAAAAGCTTTGAAAATGTGATTCTAACACTTCATAATCTGAAGTGATGGAGCAGTGGTGTGGGTTCTTGTAAACAGTTGTTAACGTGTTTTAGGTTCTCAGTTTTCGGTTTTCAGCAGGTTTTCAGCAGTAGGATTTGGACAGGGGTAGTGGGTGGCTGTGGACTAGAATGGGGAAAAGACTGATTTCTTTTTGGCTGCACTTTGGTACTTTCTGAATTTTGTAACTTGGCATATTATTCATGCAAAGAAGAATAATTAAAAAGAAAAACTCTTAGTGTTAGTTAGACATCTTCCATTGGAAGACTTGTTTTGGCTTGTTCAAATACTAGAACCAACCACAGTAATAGGCATAGTATGGTTTAATGGATTCTCTGCTTCGGATTTACCTCTTAGTGCTCTTAACAAATCAAGAACTGTATTCATTTTTCCTGAGTTTGCTCTGACTTACTTGCTTTCATCTGTAGGACGTCTCGGAACTAAGGAATGAATTACAACGGAAGGATGCGCTGGTCCAGAAGCACCTGACAAAGCTGAGGCATTGGCAGCAGGTGCTGGAGGACATCAGTGTGCAGCACAAGAAGCCAGCCGAAATCCCTCAGGGCTCCTTGGCCTACCTTGAGCAGGCGTCTGCTAATATCCCCGCACCTCTGAAGCAGACCTGAGTAAAAGCTGAAGGGGTCTGGGGTATGAGGCCGCCCTGGACACACAGTTCTGCCAAACATCCCTTCTTGTGGACATGGCGTTTTGGAAGAACTTTTTACCAGAGAATGAGTTAGTTTTAGTTTTATGTGCCCACTTAAAATCTTTCCCAATTTTTATAAGCTGTTAATTTTTTGAGTACTTTATAAAATGCTTATAGTTTTGGCAAACCACGTAAATTTTTTTGTCTTAACAGAGTTTATTCTGTTAGTGTGATGACACTTACAAATTCTTTATTATTATTATTATTATTTGTTGCTTGTTTTTAAACAAATTTTTGTATGACTTTTCAGTTAGATTACTTTATATGATCTGAGGGAGAAAAATTACAATAATTTGAGAGTGTGGGGATGAGGATTTGGTTGGAAATCTTTTATGAGAATTACCCTTCAGTGGTAGTGTTGAACAATATGTAAACTTGCTGTGTGTCAAGACTTTGAACTACCTCAAGAAGAGGAATCTAATGCAATAATGTTTGTAATTCTTCCAGAGCTCTCTGAATGAGGATATTTTGCACATATGTAAGATGATCAAAATATCCTGGGTTAGCTTAGTAATATTACAGTAGGATCCTTAGGTTGATGCTAATTTTTATTTGGGGTAAGTTTGTATTTTGTGTTGTGTTTATTTACTTTTTCTTAAGGGGGAGGGGTGTAGTCAGAGCAGTGATATGCTGAATTTTGTTACGTTCTGCCGTAATGAATCAGTTTAAGGGGACAGACTGTTCTCAATAGCATGACAGTTGGGGCATAAGTGTGATATGAGGGGTTAAAGTTTGCTGTGATGTCTCCTTTAGTTTTGAGTTTTGTCTGTTTGTGTCGTTTTTGTTTTACTTTTTGAGAGCAGAGACAGTTTCCAGTAAGGAAGGTTTTGCTAAAGGATTTAATTCCAAGGGCCTGGGGTGGGGGGTGGGCTGCAGGTGATCCTGGGCTGCTTAACCTCCACAAAGAGCCTGGAAAGTTGGGGAAGATATTTTACGTTCTTGTTAGTTTCATAGGTCTCCTCATGCGCTGTTGAGAAATACAGACCAGCATTGTTTCTGGCTCTCAACGGATGAGGTTTTCCTTTCTCTGTTTTATACAGTCTCTTATGAGATTACATCCCTTTACTCAAAACAAATCCTCTGCTGTCTTCTGAAGAGGCAGTACTTCTGAGGCTCGGTGTCATGGCTAGTTTTATTTTCTCCAGCCTCGAAGGCCCCTGCCCACACGCATTCATGTCTACTCATGTTCCTGGTCTGGAACCTGATGCCACCTGGTTTATGAAGCCTCCCCATGCCCAACACAGGGTTTTTTTTTATCTCTTCTCCTGCCCTGGCTTGTTTCTTCCTTGTGGGTTAGTGATTCGAATCTGGCTTTGTGCCCTTGCTGCATTGTACAAGGGTGTTATAAAAAGTTTGTGGAAAAATAGAATTACAAGGTAATACAAATCTTTCCACAACTTTTTGAAGTACCATCCTATATGCATGAGAATTAGGCATTACTCCTCTTGAATATATCAGAACCATATGTTATTTGTCTTTTATATGTGATACTTATCACTCATTTTTGTCTGTGTTGTGTACATGATATCTGGCACATGGGCCAGCCTGAGTGAGAATGTATAGATTAAACAAAGCTTGTAAAAGTTGTTTTCACTTACATTATATGACTTCAAGGTTGTTAACATGGTTATTTCATGCTAATTAGGAGCTCTGATCGGCTGATTGGCAGCTTTACATTTCTTAAAAACCTAAATGAACAGGCCGGCCCGTGGCTCACTCGTTAGAGTGCGGTGCTGATAACACCAAGGCCACGGGTTCGGATCCTATATAGGGATGGCCGGTTTGCTCACTGGCTGAGCGTGGTGCTGACAACACCAAGCCAAGGGTTGAGATCCCCTTACCGGTCATCTTAAAAAAAAAAAAAAAAACCTATATGAACTAATTAAGTTTTAGGCAGCCTTTCAATAATAGAGGGGTTCTCAGTGAAGATTGGGAACTTATATCGGTGCTTGGTGAAAATATTTTGATTAATGTATGTACTAGTTATTGCCATTTCTTTATTAAATTCACAGGTTTTCTGTCAAATAAAGAGCAAATTAAAAATCTTGTCTGTGTGTAAATATCTTGCTGGTTGATGAACATAGAAAACACTGAGCTGTTGTATCCTTGGGAGAAAATCATAAGCCATCCTTGGGGGTTTCCTTTATCTTCCCACTGCCTGCACATTAACCCACCCACATCTTCGGGGCAGCTCTTCCTTCCTGTTCCATCTGCTGAAGTGCCTCCCTGTGTAAGATCTACCTTCCCACATGCGTCAGGGTCTCCACCCGGGTGCCTTCCCTAGGGCTTAACCCCTGCTGTGATTTTTGCCCCCTGCATCCTCCATCCATGGGGTCCTTCCCTACAGCTCACAAAACCATTCATCTCTCACCTTCAGTGTTTCCCTTGATGCTGGAGCTGCTATGAGTGTTACTGGCTACTTCTGCTTTTGCCTAATGGTGAGGGATACTTCTCTATCTTCATCTTTACTTGAACTTACTCTTTTTTTTTTTTTTTTTTTAAGATGACCGGTAAGGGGATCTTAACCCTTGCTTGGTGTTGTCAGCACCACGCTCACCCAGTGAGCAAACCGGCCATCCCTATATGGGATGCGAACCCGTGGCCTTGGTGTTATCAGCACCGCACTCTCCCGAGTGAGCCACAGGCCGGCCCTTGAACTTACTCTTTAAAATATCTTTCCTTCTTTTCTCTTTCCTCTCCTACCCAATCTCTAGCTGTTGATATTCCTGTGTGTTTGGTCCTGGGCCTCTGGAGCCTGTGGAGGAGCGCTGCTCAGTTCTCCCTTCAAAACGGCTGCTTTGAGGAGTGCCCTTACAAAAAGCCCTTGCTATTGGGGACCCACTGCTGTGTTCCCACCAAAGTCATGGGGGTCTTGGAGCCAGGTCATTTCTGTCCAACATGGGACTCTAATGAGCAGGCTTTGGAGCTTTGGAGCTTTGGAGCTTTTTCCCATCAACCTGACCAAGACGTCTCAGAGCTATCCTGCTGTCAGATCCTTTTAACCCATCTCCCTTGGCCCTCCTTTCACAGGTGTCAAACCCGCATCCGAGTCCGAAGGCTCCTCCTGCATTCTATTTTCTTGCCCCTTTAGCTTACACAGGTGTTTCCTTGAGAAGGTGGAAAAAAATCACCTGTCCTTGATGTTCAGAAGCTGACCTACCACTGCTTGGCCATGCTAGTCTTCTGTTGGACACCAAGTCTCAGAATACCAACCTCAGGCTGGCCTGTTAGCTCACTCTTTAGAACGTGGTGCTGATAATACCAAAGTCAAGGGTTCAGATCCCCATACTAGCCTGTCACCAAAAATAAGTAAGAATACCAACTTCAAACAAAGTTGATCTGAGGCCAGATAAATTAAGGTAAAACAAACCACTTCATAATTTTGTCAGCTCATTTAAAAAAAAACCAAAACCCACAAGGTTACTGTGCCACCCACAGAAATACCAAACATCCTTCTGGCTAAAAAGAATAACTGGTACTTCTTTCACCAGTTACAACTATCTAGCTCACCTTCCCTGTAGATGAGATTTATTGAGATACTCAGAATTGCCCCCACTTTCTGACAGCATACAAGCTACAGTGGATACCTGCTTCCTTAGCCCAACCAATGCCCAAATCCTAAAGTAGGTTCTAATAACTGTCTTTCTGAGAAGTCCCACCATTCTCTGTGATGAGGGTTCTCCTTCACTGCAACAAGTAATAAATTCAACTTGTTCAACTGCAAGTGTGTTTCTGGGGGTCTTTGAAGGCATTGCTAACCCCAGTGGATTTCTTGCACTTCTAATTGCGTCTTGGGACATGCTTCCTTGGATGTGGTCTGAGAGCAGGCAGTAGGATGGGGTTTGGGGATTGGCTCACTCACCAACCACCTGGCAATGAGGACCCATCCTGAGTGGCATGTGAGGTAAGGACCGTCACCAGCACAAGGGAGCAGCCCAATTGCTGAAGATTCCATCAGTGGTGCCCTGGGAAAACATCCTGGTGGAAGGGAACACGATCAGTGTGAAGATTCAGGCATGAAAGGTAAGGGAGAATCCTGCACACGAGGACAGCAGAGTTGGCTGTTGTTATCACTACAGTGTCTTTACTGCCTGCTGAGGGTTGAGAAAGTGAAGGTGGTGACCAACTGAAGATGGTGACCACGAGTGCCAGCGGCCACTGGTTGTCTCCTCAGGTAGAGCAGACAGCTGAGGAGCTAGTAGAAGGTAGTAGATAAAAGACAATATTACGTCCTGGGGGTGGAGGTGGGGGTGATGGTGGAGATTAGTGCTACCTTTAGGAATCTAAGGGACATCGGAAGGCGGTCCCTATCTCAGCTGTGTTTAATTTGCCAGCCTCACCCTTGCAGAATCCAGATGGGTCCTGGAGAATGATTATTGACCAAGTAGCCTCAATCACAACTGCTGGGTCAGAAGTTGCATCAATGCTGGAGAAGTTAAGGGCTCAGGTACATGGGACGCAGCCATTGATGGGGTGAATCTGTTCTTTTCAACCCCAATTAAGAAGCAGTTTGCATTTGAGTGGAATGGACGATATTCCTTTCCCATTTTGCTCCAGGAATATGTTAACTCTTCTGCCCTCTGTCATAATACTACAGCCTGTAGAGATTTATCATAAAATCTTGTTGTTTCTCCCCCCTAACTCTATCCTGAATCAGATCATTTCTCTTCATCTCCACTGTTACCTCCAAGCCACTCCCACCATCTCTAGACCACTCTGCTCTTCAGAGATTGATGAAATCAGATTATGTAAATGGAAGCAAGAACAGTGTTTTACCTATCAAATTGTTTCTTTTTGTTGTCTAGTGAGAGAATTTATTTACTGCTGGTGAGGTTGTAAATTGCTAGAAACTTTCTAGATAGTAATTTGGCAAAACCAAACAAAAAGTGTGTATCCTTAGATGCCTTACTTCAATGCTCAAGGAATATGTCCTAAAGAAAAAAATTACAGAAGCATGCAAAGATTTAGTTAACAAAGTATAATTATTGCAGGGTAGAATCTAAAAATTCAACAAGCTCACCTGCACTAAGAAAGGAGTCAAGGGCCGGCCCGGTGGCGCACTGCGACAGTGCGCTGCTTGGGAGCGCGGTGGCGCTCCCGCCGAGGGTTCAGATCCTGAACATACAGACCGGTTCCCGCTCACTGGCTGAGCGAGGTGCAGGAGCAACACCGAGGGTTGCGATCCCGTTGCCGGTCCCGGTCCGGTACGGGCGCGACACTGAGGGTTGCGATCCGTTGCTGGACACGAAAAAAGACAAAAAAGGAAAAAAAAAAAAAAAAAAAAAAGAAAGGAGTCAAAACAGATGTAGGGTCTCAGTAAGGTTCTATCCCTGCAGAGGTATCAAGCTAAATTAAAGGGCAGCATTATAATGTGCAGCCTGCTGTACTAGTCATTGGGAGTCACACAATGTTGGGAAAACATTTCAACACACAAAAGTAGAACCATCTGTATGCAGTCTTTTTTGAAGCACAAAGTAAAAAAAAAATCCTACAATGCTCACTGCTATGATTTGAATGCTGGTGTTCCCCCAAAACTCATATATTAAACTTATTACCCAGTGTGATAGTATTACGAGTGGGACCTTTGGGAAGTGATTAAGTCATAAGGACTCCACCCTCATGAATGGGATAAGTGCTCTTGTAAAAGAGCCTTAAGCAAGCTCCCTTGTCCCTTCTGCCATGTGGGGACACACAGTAGGAGCCCTCTATAAAGAAAGGGCCCTCACCAGATACCAAATCTTCTGGCCCCTTGATCTTGGACTTCTCAGTCTCCAGAACTATGAACAAGAAATTTCTGTTGTTTATAAATCACTTAATCTAAGGTATTTTGTTATAGCGACAAATGGACTAAGACACTCACCCTAAGCAGTAAAGAAAAGACAAAATATTTGGTACTGAAAATAATATGACATGCTACATGTATACAAGTATTCACATTTAAAAAGTCTTATTGAGGCCTTGTTTTGATTAGGTACTAAATTTACTTTTAATTTATGAGTTTAAATTTTAATTGCGTTTCTCTCACAATTTGTAAGTATGTAATCAGCTACTTTTTATTTGAAGGTGATCTGATCAAGGTTAATATTGAACTTCCTATTTCCAAGCTCTGTCTTCATCTAATTTTACCTTTCTAGGGAAAAGCAATACAAATCACAACCATTTTTATTGCCCAGTTGTTTAAAGTTTTATTCAAAGAGCAAAGATCTGACAGTGCATAGAATGAATATTTGTGGGCCACTGCTGAGCCAGCACCAAAGGATTGAGAAAATATTTTGCCCACTAAAAGCTGTGTTGAGTCATGTTGCTCCATCAGAGGGTGAGACAATTCAATGTGGACTGACAGCAAGGTCAGCTCGCAAACAGCCACTCCCAGTTCCATTTACCCCACCAGGAGTCCATGCAATGGGGAAGAAATGTCCAGGAGGCAAACGGCCCAAACCCAAAGGCCAGGAGTTCAGGAGATCTTTGACTTCAAAAAACAGATAGTCTAGAAACCTCTACAAATGACCGAGTTGACCCTACAGTCACTGAAATAGAGGTACAATGAGGCGAGGCTTGGTTATCCACAGAAAAACCTTTCCGTGCTTAATTCCCATTCATGATCAGTATTTTTGCCCATATTATTTTGCTTAGTCCTCACAAAGCCCCTCTTGAGGTAGGTGTTATTTTGTCCATCATCTGCTGCTTGTCCTAGACCCGGGAAGTCAAAATATTCAATCCAAGCATGCTACGGTCCAGTCCTATAGTTTGTTTTTTTTAATTGGCTTTCCTGTCTATCTTAAACTTGATTTTATTCCTCTTCCTATTGAGGTTAGATGTGCATTTTGGAATTATATCATTTTACATAGAAACACAACTTTTTAAGTGGAGAGGACTAGCATCCTAAGGAAAAACAAAACCGCTTTTAAAGCAGACCATGGAAATCACAAAGTCTGATATTGCACTAAGTGGAGTACTGATGTTATGTACACTAGAAGGACAATACGTAGGTCATTAGGAACATTAATAACATTTTCCTGTGGGGGCTTTTTAATAACACTGGTTTGTTTAATGTCAAGAGTTTTTTTAAATGAACTGTTCTCACAATGAAACAGTATGAAATGTTAGTGCCAAAATTTCTTTTAGCTATCATAGATAAATAATATTACAAGCAAGTTATTTGGTTGGTTGATTTTAGTTCATTCCTTCAATCAGACATTTTAAAAGAAATGTCTTTCAAGTGTTCTGTTTGTGATGTATCCCAAAGATCAGTTTAGAAAGAAAAATACTTGGTAAACCATTCCTGGTGCGGAGAGCCCTGTTTCTGCTGGGCTTCCTTGGGTTGGGCTGTTTCACCATCTTGTGTCCTAAAAACAAACAAAGAAGGTTTCTTACATGATTTTTAAATTATTCAGTAAACAACTTAATACCCATCATCTTGTCAGGGAATGATAACTACCTCATAACTCTTCAAAAGATACCAGAATGTGACTGGCTAACATTAGTAGCAGAAAACAAGTTGTAAAGGATGGGGATGGGGAGGGAGTGTCTGATTTCCTCCTGTTAAAACAGAAGATCCTCCATTGTTTGGTCTATTGTTTCATTTAAAACTTAGTGGTTGTGTCTAAGATAATTATGCACGATCAACCAAACCTACAGATTACAAGGCTTTAAAATTCAAGATGATACAATAAATCTTGAGAAATAACCTTAATAATAATAGTGAAAATGTACTGAACACTTCTGTGCCACGTCCTGTGCTAAGGATGTCCTATGGATTAGTTCCTTTAGTCTCGCATCAATCTGATGAGGTAGGTGCTGTATCATCTGCATTTTAGAGGTGGGGATAAGGAGACCCAGAGAGGTCAAGTGACCTGCCCAAGGCCACACAGCTAAGAACAAAGAGGACAAGAATTTAAATCCAGACCTCAAGGCCAGGTGAAGAGAGTCCACCTTCTGTGTAACCCACACTGAGTTTTCAGCTAAGTCATTCAATGTCCCTTGTCTAATCATCCATGAAAAAAGGCCTTCTGGAATCTGTTAACAGCAATAGTACCTCTTCCAAAGAATGACATGGTTCCTCCTCTTACACAATCATTTCTCCAAGGCAGGGCTTGTTTTGCTACTCTTTATATCTGTCCAAATGCAGGTATTTAGCAGGTACCCAAAAAGATCCTAATTTCCCTTCTATTTATGGGGAAATGGAATAACAGCATCCACCACCCCCTACCTCGAGGCAGTTTTTGCATCTAGAGACTGGGTGGGTTTGTAAGGCCGGCCACAGCTGGGGCTTGGGTCCAAGCTGGGTGACTTGGTTATTGGAGGGGCATTGATCCTGGAGCTCAGGTCTCCACTCAGAAAGTTCTTTGCGTAAGAGGCGAGGTTTGGCACACTGACCACTCGGCTGGGCACTTCCTCCATTTTCTTTTTCTGTTTGTATTAAAGGAAAGGTCTGTTAGTGCCACACACACAAAAAAAAACTGTATTATAAAAGTAAATAAGGCCCACCCAACCAAAATTATATGGGAGAGGAGGCAACAATTTTATTTATATACTTACGTGTTATCTTTTTAAAAGCATTTTACCCTCCTATTTTCATTTTGTGTTTTAAAAAACACAGGTCCACAAACTTCTGAGACAAATACGTTTTGTAATTCAACATTAAAAAAAAATTTTATTTTAGAAGGCCTTGTAAGGGCCGGCCCGTGGCTCACTCAGGAGAGTGCGGTGCTGATAACACCAAGGCCACAGGTTCGGATCCTATATAGGGATGGCCGATTTGCTCACTGGCTGAATGTGGTGGTGACAACACCAAGTCAAGGGTTAAGATCCCTTACCGGTCACTAAAAAAAAAAAAAAAAAAAAAAAAGGCCATGTAATACCCCAGAAGGCGCTGGGCCCACCCTGTCCTCAAATACATTAATACTTCTAGAGTGAAACTTAAATTTTGTCACACTATGAAGGACACATAAAAACTATAAATAAGGTCACATCAGTTCTGGTCACATTAGGCTTACTGTCCTGTGAGATAGTTTAAGAAACACCAATTTTTAGAGTTTTTAGGATTTTGTGATATCAGATAAGAGACTTGGATATGAATATGCTCATCATAACAAATTCCAAGACTATGTAAGGAAATAAAGAAGTAGAAGAATACTACTCTCTCCCCTCTCCTTCCCATCATCCAGACAGAACGATTATTAATAGTGACACATATTTATTGTACAAAATTTGGAAAATACAAAAACCCATAAAAAATAAAAACCACACATAATCTGCCCAGCCAGATATAACACCATTAAGACTTTGGACTATTTGCTGTGGGTCTTTTTTTTTCAATTCATATTCCTCTGATTATATACCAGCCCATCAATAAAGTGCAGTTACCTTTAGAAAAAATAAAACCAGCAGAATTGTATAATGCATTAGCACCAGTAGAACCAACTTACCTTCATGGAAGGGGTCAAATATCCTGGGTGAGGATTGAAAGAAAAGGACCGATTTCGATGGGACATTGCGCTGGGGAATGCTGCGTAGTGAAATCTTCTCTCTTCCTGAAAAACCAATACAACTGAGTCTAAATGGGCCTAACCACACAGCACTGTGTTTAACTTGAAGGGAAGATGGCTTCTGAGGGCAGAATACAGAGTATAGGGAAGTCCAGGGGAAGGAGGGGAAGTCAATGGGAATCTTGCTGCCTGCCACTAGAGCTTTGAGGAAGCACCTTTACTCCTGGAGCCTTTATGTCCCCAGCCTCTCCTGTAAAGGAAAGGGCAAGCTTATGCCTTAGGGATAAGCCAAGTATTATGCTAAATATTCTTAGCATCTGAGAGTATGAGTCCACTGCAAAAAGTTAATAATTAAAAGAAACAAAGAAAAACTCCAGGCACACGAAGGACCTTTTTTCTTCCCTTTTTTTGTTTGTTTGTTTTACATTTATATTGTAGACATTTTCTAACATATGTGAATGCAAAAGTAGAGGGTAATGAAATCCATCTCCCACTTCAGCAATTATAACTATATGCCAATTTTATTTGTGTGATGTGTCATCTTCCACTTTTTTCTTTCCTGCTATATTATTTTTAAAGCAAATTCCAATCATCATATAATTCCATCTGTAAAAACGTCAATATGTATTTCTAAGAGATAAAGACTCTTTTTAAAAAAAAAATAACACAATAGCTTTGTCACACTTAGCAAATGAGCAAAAATTCCTTATTAATATCATTAATATCCAGTCATTGGTTAAGTTTTCCTGAGTAAGTTGTCTTATTAGTGTCTTCACATGAAACAATGTAGTGTGGCTGGGGCAGGGGGCAGGATGGGGCGTGTTATGAGAGGAGTGTGTGTGTATGTTGTGGGATGATGTGAGGCTGGACAGGCCCTACTAAGACTGTGGATTTTACACAGAGAAGGATGGAAAACCATGGGCAGGGGCTGGGAGTCAAACAGAGCTGTGCTGTGATCAGACATATTTTCGTAAGATCGCTCTGGTTGCTATGAGGTCAACATGGTGGGGGCGAGCTGGAGCAAGCAGAGAGACTAGTTCATGGATTCTCCATTATGCATGTGAGAGATCATGGGGCTTGCACTTAGGTGCTGGTGGTGGAGACAGTGGGAAGTGGCTAGACACATGTGGCTAGCTAGGTCTCCTGCCACCTTCTCTGCAGGCCACATTGACAGGAGTGAATCACTCTGTCCCTAGAGCTGAAAGTAAACCACTAGGATCTGTCCCAGCTGGGGCAATATAAAGAACTTCTGACCAAAGTGCGGGGCCTGGGGACGCTGGGTGAGAGCCTAAGGAAATGGTCAAGGAATGAGGAGACGTGCAGGTGGGGAGGGTGGACTGCAGGTAAGGGCAGGAGCAGATGGAGGGGAGGGACATTCCAGATAAATGACCACGAGTCCTTGGTGCCTGCTGGATACAGAATCAGAGGGAGGTGGTGATAACTTTTCGAGGGGGGTGGCTTTGCTAACTAGAAAAGAGGTGGTCATTTTTACAAAAGGAAGATCAACAGTAACTTTTTTTGTTGTTGATCAATTCTACTAAAATTTAAGGCAAATAATTCTAGATTTTCCCAAATTCTGTAGTTTAAAAAGAGCTGAACTAACTCAACAGCAGGTAAATGCTGTTGGACTTGAGAGTAGAATGCTTTTTTTTTTTTTTGCCTTCTATTTCCCTATATTAATTTTTTTTAGTGAGCATAGTGTTTTAAAAAAATAATAGAAAAAAAACCAATGGATTCTTTGTAAGGTGGAATTGTAGGCACTCAGAGAAATGCCAGGAATGAAGCGAACACCCTCCTGGGGGAGCACTGCAGAGTCCAGGCCGGGTGCATGGCCGAGACTGTGCTAATGTCACCCTGTCGCCTCACCGTGAGCTGTTTGATGATTTCCTCCCTCTCCTTCAGGCGGGTCTGCAGACGGCCTATGAGCTGGAGGTCTTCGGGCCTGGACGTGCCCTTCCCTGGCTTTTCTCTGGCATCTTTCAGTCTGTTGTGAGCAGGCATGCGGTTAGTCCCTGTTACAGCAGTTCCTCAACAAGGAGGGGGGCACAACGGGACATGATGGGGATGCTGTCGTACGTCCTGCCTGGTCAGCCCAGGCACAGACAGCAGCAGAGGCTTGCCCCAGGCCACCGGGTGAGTTGGCTGAAGAACCCAGGACCTCAACTTCCAGTCTGACACCTGTTAGCTCCCATGAGGCTGCAGGGCCAAGGAACCAAAGGCCCATGTGTGTACACAGATGCTGCCCTGAGCCGGGCTTCAAGAGCCACCGATGTTGCTGGGAGAAGAGCCTTGGGAAGGAAAATGCCCCCCACTCCACCCGTGGTCAGCAGGTCAGGCTAATGACAACGTGACTCTGGCACCTTCTGCTGGGGGACACACAGCACAACATAAGCTCGTTCTTGGGCAGAGCAGCTAAGGCGGCAGGTACCCAAAGCCCCTTAGCCTGACGCCAGAGAGAAATAACTCCCTGGATGGTGGGGGAAGGGGAGGACGTGGGTTGCAGATGACCTACCAACTGGAGCTGATAAGAAGCCAAGGCTTTGGGGTGGGATGACTTGGGCTCTAATCCTGGCTCTGCTTTTTTCTAGCCATGTGACCTTGGGCATGGCATTTTGCTGGTGAGCCTCAGTTCCCTCCTTTTTAAAATGGGCATGAAACTTGAGTGTTTGTGAGGATTCAGTGAGATAATGGGTACCCAGCATACAGTTAAGTACCATTAGACAGTAGCTGGTAAATCCTTTCACTGTCACTTCGGTATAATTTGCTTTGTATTGCAAATGGTAGAGAACAGTTTTTAAGAGTGCAGAGTGAGAGTCAGACGGGTGACATTTAAATTCACTTAATGCTGCAGGACCTCGAGCAAGTGGCTTCACCTGTCTGAACCTGGATTACTGAAATCACCTTGTAAATAGGCTCCCTGCCAATCACTACCCTCCCCCGGACTCCTCTCAGCAGCAGGAAGGGACTGTGTCAAATGGCAAATGAGACCATGCCACTCCAGCTCAAAGCCTGGCAAAGGCTTCCCAGTGCACTCTGAACACATCCAAACTCCTTCCCATTCAGTGCCAGATCTCCTCACCATCTCATTTCCTTCTACTCACCCTCTTACCCACTCCATTCAGCCACAGGAGCCTTCTGGCTGTTTTCAGTCACGTGAAGCAGGCCCCAGGGCCTTTGCACTGGCTGTTCTCTCTGCTTAGAATGCTCTTCCTCCAGATGGCTCGCTTGGTCTCTTGCCTCTTTGTACTTAAATGTCACCTCCTCAGAGAAGCCTTCTTTGCCCACCCTTGCCACTCTCTGTACCCTGATCCTGTCATCCAGCCCTTTCACCACCTGCTATGAAGTTAAATATTTATTTGTCTGCTACTTCTTGTCTGAATCCTTGTCCAGAATTGGTGGGTATTATGAGAGCATGGTCTTTATTTTGTTCCCTGCTGTAACTCCAGAGCCAAAAACAATGCAGGGAACATAGTAGGCCCTTAAGAAATATTTGTTGAATGAATAAACGAATGTGTGCATGCATGAGGGGCCCATGCTTTCTTTATCTGTCAGTGTACATAACAGTTTCCACTTTGAAGGACGGTTGTGATGATTAAATGACAGATGCATGTTTGAACACAGCAAATGTTCATAAAAAAGTAGCCCCATCCTTCTGATTTCTTCCAAGTGTGAGGGTTAAACTGAGGCCAGGATTCAGTGCTCTGCATGGAAAGGGAACGCAGCCTCATAAAATGAAGGTGACCAACCATCCTAGTTTGCCTGGCACCGAGGAGCTTTCTGGAATTCGGGACTTTCTGTTTTAAAACCAGGAAAGCCTAGGGACATGGGATGAGTTGGTCACCCTAATAAATGGTGCTAATCCCTCCCAACTTGGGGCCCAAGGCCTCACTTACTCGGCTTCCAGGGCAGCCAGCCGGGCCTGGAGCCGTGCCTGGGCACTACTGAAATCTGCCACCATAGCCTGCATCTCTTTCCGGTGTTCCTGGCGAAGTGTCTCCACCTCCCCGGCCCGCTGGGCCTGCTGATCCTCCTCCAGCAAGCTGCAGGGGATGGAAGCAAATGGCTTGTCCAGGCTCTGGGGACTGAGCCCCTTGAGTCTGGGGTTCATTCCTCCCTCTGCTTGATGCCTGGTTTGAGTCTCTGGGTGGGGGAAGGTTATGAATCTGAGGTCAGAACAACATGGGAAGGAGAGCTGGGGTCTCTGAGTTGTGGGGTCCAGGACAAGCCCCGCTGTGGGACCCCTTCTCAACCCCCCCTTCATTCCATGAAGGACAGCCTTCAGGGGAAGGGGTGGAGAACAGCCCTGGGGGAGAGTCCCAGAAAATACTCCCTTCACATGGGGCAGGTGGAGGCCTGGAGGCTGAGCTTCTCTATTAGAATTCCTGCATGCTGGGACCCTGAGACCGGGGAGACCACTAGGCCAAGGTGGAAGAGCTGGGTGGGACGGGGTAAGGGAGCAGCTTTTAGGGCCAGGCTGTCTGTGTCTGTGGCTTCCTCCAGCACTTCCTAGCTGCAGGACCTTGGGCAAGCTGCTCCCTGCTCAGTGTCTTCATCTGTTAAATGGAGGGGACAATGGCACCTATAAGTAGGATTGATACAAGGAAGAATTGTGTTCATACATGTCCAGAACAGTCCGTGACACAAAGCACATGTCCAACCATTAGCTATCATTCTTAACCTAGAGGAGTGGCACTACAGGGTCCACAGGCAAGCCTCAGGGGTCTGTCACCCTCAGAAAGTACATGCAAATTTTTGTGTGATTATATCCTTTTCCCAGGAAAGGGGTCACTGCTTTCCTCACTTGGAATGGGCTGTAACCCAAAATGGTTAGGAGTCCCTACTCTGTCCAATCTCCTTATTCAAGGGACTTGCCCAGGGTCACATGGTAAGTCACTAGTGGAATCTAATGTGTTCCTCCTTGGCCAGGCAGACTCACAGCTGCCTCTGAGATGAGCCTTAGATCTGCCATTTTCTTGGGGAGGGAGCCCCCATGATCTCAGCCCAGTTGGGGCCTGAGTTTGTTCACAGCCACATGAGCCTGGTCGGGGAACTGCTCCCCCACTCCCAAGTATAGGACTCAGAATGACCCCCTCCTCCTGGTGGCAGCTCTCCCCCTCCACCTGTACTGGGCATTAGAGTCGTCTGGGGCCTCTGTCCACATCCAGGCTCCTGAGCCCCTCCTCAGACCTGCTGCACCTGCGACTGACAAAGCTCCCAGGGGATGGGGGGGAGGTCCAGCTGGGAACCCAGAGCTACCTCAGGCCCACAGGGCACCCTCTCCCTTGGTTAACCTTAGCCAGGTGCTTCTGCCTGGAAAAGAGGATTCCCCTGACATGAAGAATTCCAGGGCCTCTGGAAAATTCCCTCATCCTGGCCCTTTACTGCAGCAAGAGTGAAGGATTCACAGATAAAGGACTCATGGTCGTACTCAAAGTGTCATCCAGGTGATTTGGCATCAGCTTCTCCTGGGAATTTGTTAGAAATGCAAATTTTAACCAATTTTAATTCATGCTAATTATCAGGTTCTACCTCAGCCCTACTGAATCAGAAATGCTGGAGAAAGAGTCCAGTAATACATTCACCTAGCCTTCCAGGTGATTCTATTGAGAACCATAGCAGCTGACATTTCTTGAGTCAGTGCTATGTACCAAGCATTGTTCCAAACACTTTCCATGTTTTTGTTTTGGTGGCTGGCTGGTATGGGGGTCCGAACTCGTGAGATTGGTGTTACCAGCACCAACCACACTCTCCCAAGTAAGCTAACCGGCCAGCCCACACTTTACATGTTTCCTTTTAATTCTTCCAAAAACCTATGAGCTAGGTCCTGTTACCGCCCCCCCCCGCCCCCATACTCTGGGCAACTGAGGCATGGAGAATTTAAGAAGCTTGCCCAAGGTCATGCAAAAGAGGCAGAATTATGTTTGTTAACCAAAGTGAAAACCTCAGCCTTCCCTACACCTATGTATAGCAACGTGTGATGTGTTTGATGTGAAGCAAGTTATATGACCTCCCTGAACCTCTTTTCTTCACCTTTATAAAGAAGTGGTTGTGAAAATAAAATGAACAAGTACTTCCAAGGCTCAAAGCAGTTTTGGGCCAACAGAGCAGTGTTCAATATAAATAATGGACAAATAATAGGGAGAAAAAGGGGTCCTCTAGACATTAAAATGACAAAAAGGGAAAATGATGAACAACTTTATACCTGGGACTGGGACATTCAAAAAGGTAAATGAAGTGGACAGATTTCTTGAAAGTTACAAACTGCTAAAGTTCACTCAAGAAGAAATAGATAACCTGGAAAGTCCTTTATCTATTAAAGAAATTGAATTTGACTTAAACATCTTCCAACGAGGGGGAGAAAAGGCTGTGAGTTCAGGATCGATAATAAGTTATTAACTTCCACAATCTACCCAGTGCTTCCTCCACGCCCGGGAGTGCCCAGCCTCTTGCACACAGTTCACAGTATTTTACAGCAGCCCTGAGAGGTGTCACCCCCGCTTTACAGATGGGGACACACGGTCTGGGAGAGGTTAGCGGGCTCAGCCCAGGCCACACTTGCAGTTAACAGCACAGAGCTAGCTAAGAGCGCACAGCCCTGTGAACTGTCCCACCACACTGTCCCCCTACGGCTGGATTTGAGGACACTTTTAGTGTCATTTAGGTCTGGTCAATACCCCGCTGTGCAAGGAAATAGTTCTCCTAATTCAGGGCAAGTCCTCTGCAGTTCTGAGATCTAGGATCCCTAGAGCACTGGTACTTTCCACGGGGCGGAGGAGTGACATCAGTGAACCGCTAGTGCACGAAGGAGCCTGCGGCGGGGGACGCCCACGCCCGGTCTGGCGGCTCCGCGGCCGCAGGGTGGGGGCGGGACGCTGGGGCCGACCGACCTGCGCGGGTCGCGGAGCTGCAGCGCCCCCTGCCGGCGCGGTC